GACGGTACACGGTGGACTGGTGCTAACGTTAGTTTATATCCATACCCTCCCTCACCAACTAACGATGTTGTTATAAAGGGCACTCACCTCCGTGAATGGGTCCATCCTGATATACACTACGATAAATTTAAATGAAAGCACAATCCTCTTTGTTTTGCTTCTTTATTTGCCTGGTGAGAGAGTCAAAGTGTCTCCGCTCTCTCTCTCACGCCACGCGCTCCTCAGCTGTTTGAAAAGTTTGAATTTAGCGCTTGCTCACTTCTCAACGGTCGCGGACACGTCACTGCACACGAGCTGAACCAATGAGAGCCTAGTCCGTTAACTCAGCCACGCCCACCGACTCTATATAACGCCCCCATTTAAACTCAGCCAAGTTGCACTATAGTTTGCTGAATGTCATTATCTGCGGGTCCACTACATCTAATAACTCTTAGTATTTAGATTTTCAAAATTCAATACATTTTAGGTACTTTCTTTTCTTTTGTGAGGCCGTTTAGGCATTTAGGGTTAAAACCTTTACCTTATTAGCTGCATGCAGTTTGTTTTGGCAACCAGATAGTTAGCATTACATGTTCCTAACAATTAAAGTAAAGCAGTTTAATAATTGTATTTTTCATATAGATAAACAAAGACATCTACGAAGTGATGACAACTCCATGCATATTTCCAATTTCTATTACATTCTTGACGATTACATGCAATTTATCAACATGAAATGGGTTGTGCAAGGTTAGTAGTATATCTTATGTCTAAAACTCCTAGAATTAAATTGTGCGACCCATCTTCTGTTGAAGATTGACAGCTGATGTTACTGAAGAACATCACTGGGCGATAAAACGAAAACGATAATTATCGCGATTTAATTTTCCTCATAAAATGATATCAATAACTGCAGCCTGCACTGAAAATATCAAAGTCGGGCAACACAAACCTGTTTCATCATTTGAAACACTCAGCAGAACATGCAGAAACTAAAAAAATCATTTCTATTTGAAGATATTTTGTTTTATTTATATGGATACTTAACATATACTAATTTATATAGATACATATATTTATTTTTTATTTTTAAAGAAAAATGGCTGGAAAAGTATAAATAATTCAAGAATGTGAATTGTTTGTCATGTTCTGACCATAAAGAGTAGTCGGAAACCACAATTAACGGTCTGGTTTCCACATCTTTCACCTAGCAACAAAAATCTGCCTTTAAACTGAAAAGAAATAAATATTTACAATTTATCGCGATAATTATCGATATCGACTGATATGAAACATTTTATCGTGATTTTTTTTTTGTGGCCATATCGCCCAGCCCTACATTAAATGCGATTCTATGTTGGCATTATTCTCTAACCTCACTAACGCATGAGCAGATCCAGCAGATGGCACTGCAGATAAAGACAGACCGGCCCAGGCTTGTGCAGTCTGGATAATCGGAATTCCGTTTTTGTACTACAATCCCTTAAGAGACCTACGGCTTTAGTGCTGTGGCGTCCCATTTAATTTGATTATGCATTAGAACTCAACACATAAATGATAAACATTGTGTCCTACATCTGACTCTTCATATCACAGACTCCAGTGGATTTCAGTAGGTGTCGAAATGGAAAATAAATAGGTCATTTCCCACCATGTGACGGACTTAAATATTTCAAGAGTTTAGTCATCTTCCATCTGCCCTATCACTCTTCACACTAGAAATGCCACATGAGCTGTTTCCTTTATGTACATGAGTCATTGATCAGTCGGGACCTTTCTGGCCAGAACGTCCTGGTGTGGAAAAGCCTCATGGAGTCAAATGAGTCATATCTGGTTGGTCTTTAAATGACCATTGAGAGTCTACATTCTGGGTTATGTACTGTTTGAACAGACACACACACATCTTTTTTTCCTTTCTCTTTAATAGAACAGCAATCACACAGATGGATTGATTTCTTTTTCAGCTGCAGGTGACAGTACACATCACTTTCACCAAAATACTTTTCACATTATCTTGCACCATAATTTTGGATGTTATCTTGAAGGTGGTCATAAAAATCAGTCATCACGAAGTGACTTATCTGCCAAGCAAAGTAAATAGCCAACATATTACAGTAAAGAACACACAATGAAAACAGGCCAGAATCAATTTCAATTCATTTATTCGTCTTAAAACCAAGATGAAGTGAGGGTGTTTTCAAAATGGGCACAATGATTAAAACAAACAAACACAAAATGAAAATGAACCCAGAGCTGACCCGTCTCCAGCCTCTCACTTCCTTCGGTGTCTGTGGGGTGACAGATCAAGTGAACACATTACGTGTGGGTGTCACAGTCAGGCCAACAGTAAAGCTTTTTATTGAGCAGCTATAGAAGTTGAGTACCTAAGACAAGCCAACTATCCTCCTGTATTTGAATTTGGATGTAGGACGGTCCTAAGGGTGAGGGGCTTTTCTAAGCTGGACTGAAAATTGTACTCCCCAGAGATAAAGAAAAGGAGAGAAAATAACATGGCTCCATGAAAGAAAGAAAAGTGTCCTAGCCCCACCCACACTCCTGACAAGACACTAATTATAGTAAATAAATACAGCTGACATATTTAAAACCTAGGCTAACCCTAAATTAAAAGTGATTTCACAGGGAGCAATTGTTGTATTGATGAGGAACTTCTTAAAAATGTTGTTTTGTGCAACAATATCATATGCCTACTTTAGAGTTGTTTCTGTAACAAAATTGGCTATTGTGTGAGGAAATAATTACAAAGCAAAACAAAAAAGATAAAAGGAACATGCCCAACAATAAGTCTTAAAACAAATCAACAATGAGAGCAAATGTAAAATTTTTTCATCATGGTTCAAAGTACTCATTCTGAAATAACAAAATAAAAAGTCATTCCGTTATTGGAAATTTGGGAAATCAGGGGAACTTGTGTAAATTCTTGCCCATGACTGTTAACGCTGGTTAACCAACCAGGTTGTGGGCTCATCTGTGTGCTTTGACCCTTCTTCTTTGATACTGCTGGTGAATCCATAGATCAGCTTTCATTCATTACATCTCTGTGATCGATTAGCCATGATTCATTTGATAAAATCACCACAATTATTACCCACAGCTCTTGCTCCCCTCTACCCTGGTTGAACTTCCCACTGTTGTTTTGTATGACTGACAGAATGACGCACTACTGGACACAGCAGTTGTGACCGTTGGCATCCTTGAACCGCAGACGCATCTTGGGTCTGTATTTTTCAAGGTAAAGAAGCTGCTTGGAGTTGAAGGCTCCACGTCTCTTCCTAAAAAAACAAACAAAAACATTAGTTCAGTTTAAATCTACTTAAGGCTGAAATTACTTTTGCCCAGATTTATGTGCCACTTTTCAGTCCAGTTGTCAATGCTAGTTAAAGAATGTCAGACCGTCTGCCGATATTGGGCAGTTGGTATGAGGGTACTATAATTCCATCCAGTCAGAGAATATGAAACTTGTTTAAGATTTTGAGCTGATTGTAGAACACACTGTTTTCATTTGTTATGTGTCTTCTAGCAATGAGGCATGTACTGTGTGTGTTTGTGTTAAGAACTACTTCAGGTAATGGTAATGTATGATCCTCAGTCGATTAATGCATGATGCCCAGTTTTTCCCAAGTGTATGATGTCTGGTGTTTTAAAAACTGTTAAGATTAAAAAATTTGTGTGGTGTATTCCAACCTTAAAACAGAAGTTATAATGTCAAATGTATATCAAGGAGAAATCATCCAAACTACTTACTGTCTTATAAACTGCACCGCATCTTCATACTTCATTCCACACTCAATTAAGGCTAAAGCCACCAGTACAGGTGCTCTATGAAAATGAGAAAAAAAAATTCAATACAATGCAAGTTTTCAATAAACTTAAAGCTTGATGAAAAAACAAATGTAAAAATAAATAAATAAATGACCTTTTTATAAGGTCATGAATT